GTTTTACAATGATTTTTTGTTAGTGAAACATTACATTTCTAAAAAGTACTTTAAACTATATAAATTAGTTATTCAGTTAACTGATTTATATCAACCAATCATACCTATGACCCACGGGTCAACCCATGGTCAACCCAGGTTGACCTGCGGGTTGACCCATGGGTTGGCTACCCAGGTTGTTATAATTCAACCCGGGTGACCCACCCACCCGCGGGTGACCCGGGTAAGACGCACCAGGTCAAAACACTACTCTTAATTCTTTCGATTGCTGAGTTTCTTCCAAAGTTACAGTCGAAGGCTACTTTTACTCAAGGGTTTCTGTTCTTGAATTTTTCTTCTACTTTCTTGATGTGTTTATTTTTACCAAGAATTCTTTTAATGTACCCAGCTTTTTTTTCTGCTGAGCTTTCTGGAAGACTGTATACTGGCATGTTTGCTAAAAATAGTTGCTCATCTTCACATAATCTATTCTTTGGCAACCAGATACTTTGCTCTAAAGTAGCTATAAATACTTGTAAACTACTCTCCTCTGTCTGAATATTATTCAACTGTGCTTCGATGTTTTTTGTTTCTTTTTGGTATTGTAAGATTGTGTCTTTTAGAATGCTTTCGATTGGAGCTTCTTTGTCTTTTTTAATTCTTTTTCCTCCTGTTGTTGTGTCTTCTTTATTATTCTCTTCTTCTGCATTTTTTATAGGTTTGACATTCTTGTTGTTCATTTGGAGTTGTAAAGGAGCTTCATGCATTGTGGCTTGCAATTCTTCTATTAAATAACAATCTAACGATACTTGTTGTTTAGTTTTGATGTTCAAGTCTTGCATCTGTTCGACAATCTGATTTATATTTTTATTTGCTTTGACTTCTTCTTCAGGAGAGCTTCTTTTTTTTAGATCAAATAACTGTGGTTTCTCTACCAGACCAACTTTTTTTATTCCTTCCATTTTACTTTCTTCTTTTTTAATTTCTTTTTCACTTATACTTGTAATGTATTCTATTGATGATGGGTTCATTCTTGCTATTCTAGCTCCAACTGCCCATTGCTGAATTGTGTCTTCTTGTAAATAATTCTCTGCTTTTCTGAGTGCATCTCGGATTTGACCATATAAAATCATTTCATATGCTGTAATTTTGTTTGGATCTTGTACTATAAGATCCCTAGCAAGAGCATCTATTTCATCTGGTTCATATGGATGAGATGTATGAAGAATTTTTACTAAATCACTACTATTTAGATATCTAAGTACTTTTTCAAATGCCATATACACCAGTTCAAAGAGACCATCTACTCCCAATAATCTTCTATCAGATTCCATTAGTTTCTAGAAATTTCTATATATTCATATTTGTTTTGTTTAGTTTGCATATACAAAGTTTTCCTTTTGTTTACTTTATCTGATTTGTTGTATTGTTACGTATTTCTAAAAAGTACGTGTTTATTTATTTGTTTGTTTGTTGCTAAGAATCTTAGTCACGTGTTGTTTTTGTTTGAATTTTTGGGATAAGAGCAATCTCACAATTTTTTGAAAAATTTTGGAAAAATTTTTGCACAAGTCTTTTGCTTAGTATCAACTCAGTGCTTCGTTAACTGTTGTTCTAAGTAAATTATAGCTCTTTAACTTGCTGAACCTTTTTTCTTAGTCTTTCAAAAGTTGTTAATTAGGCTGTTTCTTGAATAAACATTGAATATTTGTTTTGTCAATTTTGGATTTAAGAATCAGCAAAAAGAGTTGTTATTGATTTTTGATATATATTAAACATCTATATGAACCTGATTTGTATTATAAAAGGCTTCTATTTGTGCCAAATATCTGTATCAAATTAGTTTCATATCAGGATTATGTAATGTTAGTTGGAGCCTGATTTGTTTTTATAAAGTCTTTAGTTCAAATGAGTAAATAGCTTCAGCTTTTCAGATGATTTTATAGATTTAGTTAATTGTTAAGTGTGATATAGAAACACTATAAGTATTAAGAGTTATACAAAATATAAATAACAATAAGTATTTCAAGTTTTTATTTTAATATATATAAAATAAATTACATATTAGATTCTTAATTTAAATTTTAACTGTATTCTATAAAGTTTAATAGATGTTGTATATAAATTTTAAAATCATACTTGAGATCTTATATAATACTTATAAGAGTAATTATCTGGAAGATTTCTTTTGTATATTTAATATAAAGTATTACAGTCAACCCTCTCTAAATGCATATTGTCAGAACCAAACTTTTGGAGGCTTGCATTAAGAGAACAATAAGAAAAAATGCATTTATAGAGGTTTAGTATATATCTGGGCCAGAAAATTAATATATGTTTAAGAAAATCATGCACTTAGGAGGAATGCATTTAAGAAGGGCCGACTGTATATATAAAATAGAATATTTGATTTTTGGCCAATAGAATTGGCTGTTTGTATCATGTGACTTGGTATGCCTTTTGCTTTTTGGCATGCCCATAGGCATGCTCTAAGAGCATGCCCTCCAGGGCATGCCTATGCCACTATGTCCCCAACCCTACCCCTAGCATAAATCACTAGATTTTTTTAGTAACAATATGACAATCATTTTTTTTGCAAGTTTTTGATTTGTGAATTCTTAATAAACTATATATTAATTTAGGTCACAATTTTTTTATTTAGCAACTACAAATATAAATTTTATTTACATAATTTAATACTATATAGGATACCCATTAAGCTGCTTCCTTTGTTTCATAGTAAAAAAAAAAAAAAAAAAATAGACACACTAGTGGGTTCGAATAAAACCATAAAAAAAATTTTTTTGGAGCAAGTATAGTAATTTTTAAGAAAAAATAATTTTTTATCAACAATGAGTCATACGGATGATCATCATCAATTTTGAAAAATCCGGTGAGTCAGGGGAGTGTATAATAAATTACCCGGATAACCGCGTAATTTGATAATACCCGGGTAAAACTTTTCTCGACGGGTACAATCTCTACTAAGAATGCTAAGCATTAATAGCTTGTTTATCCGGCTTTAAAATTTATATGCAGCCATTACTGCTATTTTCATAATTTCTGGAACACCTGATAAAAATTGACCGAATGGTACTCCAGCCGATTCGATTAAGTTTAATAAAAACACAAAATTGTACGTATGTGCGTAAGTACGTACGTACGTAACTTTTACATTACAGATTAGCAATTAAATAGGCGAAAGTTTTACCAGCACTACTAGACTTATATGTTAGCTCTACAAAATTTTTGGCCGTTATTTACATACAAATATTATATGCCAGAACTTATATGCAAATTTCTACCCGTATATGTTTGATATTATTAAATTTTCATTTGAACACTTGCCCAACATGTTTAGTATGCTTAGTTTGTGCGAAAACATATATACATAATCAAATTACAATGTATATGTATGTAACGTAATTTAGATCCGAAATCAATGACTTAATCGGAACGGCCGAAAAATCATTCGGTCAATTTTTATCAGGTGTTCCAGGAATTATAGCAGTAAGTGATAATTCAGTATTACCGTTACTTTGCTGGAGAAGTTTCAAGAACAAGGAACCCAGTAATATCTTCATGATAATCACATCAAATGATCAAATACTCGACCTGAGTTAAAGTTAGTGTTAGGGTAATAGTATAGCTTAGGCCGATTTGTTAGTGCTAGTAAACAAATTATGCCATTGCATTATTTCACGTGACGTAATTATCACTTGTTCTTGAAGTGTCCCTTTGCTGATAATCTTGATAATCTGTATATTTATACCATGCATTTATGGTTTTTTATTAAACATTTAAAGTTCTTTCGAGTTAGCTGTATTATATTTCGCTATCAGGAATGTACTAGGCGATAAGTTATATTTAAAGCTTTAATTAAAGGCTTTAATAATCGTTAATAATAATGTAATGCTGACTCGTTAAATAATGGTGTTTAAAAATACTGGAAGATATCTGAACAAGCAGACTATCTCGATGATGTTAGCATTCTAAATATACAATGAAATGAAGAAATTGAATGGAAATTTACCTTCCCGCTGTCAAATAGCATCTACTTAACCTTTGTGACTAAATTAAGTTCTCCACTCCGCTCCGGACAATAAAGACTTATAAAAGAAGCATTAAAACAAATAGGTTCAATAAAATTATAAAATTTAATACATATTATCTAAGTTTAATTCCAGAATTGCTCGTTTAATAGGACTATAATCTTTAGCATTGCCGTTAGAAACACGACCAACTTCCAGAACGTCCCAAGAACCATCATCTTTCTTTATAACAGCACACATTATTACCGCCTGGGAATTAGCAGCAGTTTGGATTGTATAATTACATAATTGTTTCTTATCAGATGACTCTTCATCGTACAATTTAAAACTTGGTGCTATAAAATCGCCAATATGCGGACATTTCCAAGCACTGAGAACAAAGTAGAGCTTGTTAACCACATCTGGAAGCTTATCTAATTTGATCGTTATTCGATGATGACCTATGCCAAGATACAATGCAAGAATTTTAATTCATTATAACATAAATATTTCGAACAACTAAATAAGTGTTCTGAATACATACCTCGTCTATTAGGATCATCCATGACATCACCTGAGTGTTTTATATACGGATGAATTGGATCGAATCTTTCCTTATAATCATATTTCTTCCAAAAATCTTTTCCGCTATATAATAAACAAGTTCCATCAAGATAATCTTTTCCCCTCATTGGATACCCCCAATACAGATCAAATGACAAATTGCTAATAGTTTCATCTCTGGATATAGCATACATCGTAACGATAAGTTGAATGTGTTCACCAGCTCTAATTCCATAAGTAGAAAGTTTATTTTCTCCTTGTCCATTTTGTTGACGGACCTATATTTATTTAAAAAAATGGCTTTAAGGTCATTTATAAAGTAATTGATATTTAAATAGATACTAACTTGCAATTCAACTCCTTTATGTAATAATTTTTGTTTCGAACCGTCAACTTTTATCCTTTTGGTCAATTCTGCTTTCAAAGCTCTAACTGATTGTATCTCTTCAAGTTTCAGTGAATACTTATCCCCACTTAGCAAAACAACAAAAAATTCTCCTTTTTGAGTTGCTGGATCGTTCAATAAATTATTATTATCTGTATTCTTTGCACGTGAATTTTTAAATAAACTTTCAATGTCTATTTTGAATGGTGCTTTTTCCCATGCGATTTTAAATCCATTTATTTCGCTTTGACTTAGTTGAGCTGGGCATTCTGGACACCTTGTTTCATTAGGCGTATTTCCTCTTTGCAGATGGAATATTAAACACTGAGTTGCCAATGTATCCAAGACATTTCAAAATCATTAAATCAATAAGATTCGGAATTTGATTTATCATGATTTACATTTCGATATTATTAAACGTTTAAATTTTAATTATCAATATTACCTTTAAACACCAAGTTGGAACATGTGTGCATTTTTCGGTAATCGTATCTAGGGGAAATTCTTTCGAGAGTTTAGTCATTTGACATTTAGAACATTTCATTATGAAGCCGTGATAGATGATGTGTATAAGAAAATTTTGTTATTTTAAAGATTTTATAAGATTTTTATGAAATAATATCGATATCGCTTTTCTCCAAAGTTACCATCGGACATAATCATATTAAATTCAATCTGTCGGAACATTTACTCCGATTCACAGGAAATGTTACACCATGCAGTGCAATGCCTTTTTTTTTTTAACGTTAAGTAAAACAAGTTGTGCGCCTGCCCATGCGCTGGGAGTTTTTTTTTATCGTATTGGCCAATCAGGTTTCGAGATCAGGTGAAGCAAAATTATTTATTTTTTTTAATGCTATAGAAATATAATATTGTTTTTTTGAGGGTTATGGTGGTTGGTTTGTTAATAATAAAGGTTGATTTATGTTCGATTTATAATGTTAAGCTTTAGTCCGATCGATATGTTTGAAAATAATGGGAATGCGTTGGGGTTGCTTTATTTTCTTTTAGTTTGGCTGTAATTTACTGAGCCAGGTCTGTTTCGAATATATTTGAAGAGTTCTTTAGTTGAATCTTTGTTGTAGCTATTGTTATTCGCGGTTATTAGGTTTTGTGATAAGGCTTTTCTTTATTAGTTGCACATACATTAGAGAGTCTATTATGGTATTTTTACTGGTTAAAGATTTGTTTTATTTAAATTTTGATGATGCGATGTATATGTTGGTTTTTATTGTTATTTCTTATAATTTGTTTAT